GGGGGGGGGGGGGGGGGGGGCATTCACATACTGCGGCACCGCTACCAAACACTAACCCAAACACTAACCCTAAAGCGGCACCGCTAGAGGAACGAAGTAGATCATCGCCGGGAAGAGGACGAGAGATTCAGACACATGAGGCTGTACTACGACAGCGAAAACCATAAGGTGTTTGGACCTTGGACAATCCGGTTAGTCTACGGAGGTTTGGGGAGCGGAACGACAGGCGAAACGGGGAAAGAACCCTGCTCTGCTCACTTTGGCACCAGCGACCACAGCAGCACTCTTCTTCCTCTCCTCTTCCTCCTCCTCCAGCATTTCCTTTTCCTCCTGCGCCCGCCTCGCACGCTGGGTGAGAAAAAAAGGAGCGAACAGGAATACATTTTTTACTTTGGAAAAAACGTCGTGAAACCTTCATGCAGTCTCTGCACATACATGTGGTCATCTGTCGGCTGCCATGTTAGTCCGTGGTGCTCCAAACGGGAATGTACCATGTATGTGGCGTGTTCAATATTCATATCAATTAATTTCATTTATTGGGTTCTTCGAAGACAGGTCCGTGAAGCAGGCAGTAAATTTACCGCGGGGTAAATTATCTCAAGACTCGGCGAGGATCGGGGTTTCGATAAAAACGGGCCGGGGTTCAGCAAGCAAGCTATCTTCCCTGGGATATTTGGAGACAATCTCCGGGAGTTGCGGGACCTTTTTTCCTTGACCGTGTTGGCCGACTAGCAAGAAAGCCAAAAAACACAAGCAGACATCAGACAAAAAACAAGCAACAAAACCAACACCAACAACAGCACCAGCACCAGCACCAGCACCGACACGATCATGAACAACAGCACCAGCAACCGTAACACTAACACCAACAACATCTCAGCCTCAGCAACTAGGCAGCAACAGCAACAGCTACAGCTATAGCTACAGCAACGGCAACCCAACACCAACAACAACAACATCTCAGCCGCAGCAACTCGGCAGCAGAAGCTGCAGCAACAACACCTCAGCAGTCACAGCGACAGCCGCAGCTTCAGCAACAACAACCCAGCACCAACAACAACAACACCTCGGCAGCAGCAGCAGCAGCAACAGCAGTAGCAGCGACAATTACAGCTACAGCTACAGCTACAGCTTCAGCTTCAGCAACAACACCTCGGCAGCTTCAGCAACAACAACTCAGCAACAACAAAACAACTCGGAAGCAGCAACAGCAACAACAGCAACAGCAGCAACAGCAACAGCAACACACCTTGGCGGCCGTCTTCTTGGCAGAAGCCTCCTTCCTAGCGGCGGCCCTGGCAGCCAACAGCGCAGCCTTCTCCTCCACTAGCCTCTGGTACTCCGCCTGGCAAAAACGTTTCGCATGAATCGCATGGCGGATAAAACGACGAACGTTCAGAATTAGCGGGGATGATCCAGAGGCCTTGGAAGCGAAGGAGGCGGAGGAGATTTTGCAGGCACAGTAGCTGTGCGGGAAAATAGCACTGGAGGGCCGCAAGCACCCTTGAAAACGAAGTGCAGCAGCACTCTTGGGTCTGTGTCGTTTCGTTCTTTATCCTTCGCAGATACCTCCATACACACGATGCACGGAAACATACGATGCACGGAAATTTACCGGCATAGTTCCTCCGCCTCCGCTTCCAGCGTCTATGCCTACAACAGTGGTCCATGTGCGGGGGGAAAAGTACTGCTGTTAGAGAGCACCCTGGGTCTTATTCCTTTTCTTCCTTCGTTCTTTCGATGTACTTGATGCGCTAGGATCACCAGCGCAGTCTAGGTACGCCCGCCTCCGCTGCCAGGTGCTATTTCGACCAACAGTAGTCCATGTGCGGGACACTACGGGCAGAAAGCACCTTGGGTCGTCCCTGTCATTTTGTTCTTTGCTATTCGCAGATACATTTGCACACACCCGATGCACGAAAAGTTTACCGGCAAAAGTTCCTCGGCCTCCGCTTCCAGGGCCTCTGAGACTTAGACTTCAACGGCAGCAGATGTGTGGGGGAAAAAACAATACGGGCAGCAGTCGCCCTTGGGGCTCTCTGGAGCAGCTTATGTGTTATTTTAAATCGATACACGCGTATCCGATGAACGAAAAATTATTACCTGCAATAGTTCCTCCGCCTCAGCTTCCAGGGCCGCCCTGCCCTCGGCGTCGGCGATGCGGCGGGGTATGGCGGCGGTCTCGTTGGCAAGCAGCATACTGTGGCACGAGGACTCGATCTGGGCGTTCTCGACCTCCTGTTGCACGCGGTTGAGCCCGGCCGCTCGCTGGTCGGCCACCTGTGCACAACAAAAAAAAAAAAGGGGCGAAAACATTTGTTATTTTTCAACAGCATTGAATACTGCCGTATACGGAGTATACAATTGTACAATACTGTCCTTTTCAAAAACTGCATTGACTACTGCTGTGTACGGAGTATACAATACTGTACTTTTCAAAAACTGGTTTGTATGTAGGGGAGCAACGAACGGGAAAGACCAAGTGGTGGGTACAGACGCTATCCTACAACAAGAGAGAGCAGAACGAAAAATCAACTCACACGCCACGATGAGGTGCTTCGAACCCTCAAACCCCCTGCCCGACTACAAAAGGAAAGACGAAAGCTCCAAGACTGCAATGGCCCAAACGGCAAACGGTATTGAATGTGCGTCATCCTGCAGAGAAAAAAAACGCTCTTCCGGCCGGCAGAAACGCTGTGAGCGCTCTCGCTCATTTCAAGAGTATCGGAAAGAAGAAAACAAAAAAAAATCACCTTGGCGTAGCCCCCGAGACGCATCTTGAGGCGAGCTTCCAGCTTCCGAGCGCGGCCGGCTTGGGCGTCGGCCTCAGCGCGAAGAGCCTGGTCGTTTCGGTCGCGTGGTCCACGAAATGAAAAAAAAAAGAAAAAAAAATGCTGTATTTTGTATGTGAGCTGCTCATGTTGGGCATGGGCCCGCTCATGTGCAGCAGCAGTGCCTCGGAGCGCTGCCTGGCGGACGCGATACTACGATAGCAAGCACGCTGTTCACGCACAGCAGCAACAGTGGTCCCGACATATCGCGGGAACAAATTCTTCGCACAACGACCTACCTACCGTACCACGAGACGGTTTCAACACCGCTATTTTCGGCACCGCCGCCACTACCTTTCCTGCTGAATAGTTGAGCTTCGAAAATCGTTCCAGGGGGATTTGACATAACATGCAACCTACGGTAAAAATAGCCTGCAACTTGATTGCTAATCAAGGCGACCTCCCCCCAATAGCGCGCGCGGGATGTTGGCTGTAACTACTACACCGCGATATTTATATCGCGCCCGATAGATACTGCCTAAAGATGTGGTACCTCGAAGCGGTGCTTGGCGGACTCGATCCTGTCGGCCTTCGTGGCGGTGGAGATCCTGCCGTAGGCGTTCCTGCTGGGGAAGTACGCCCACTCCGAGAAGCACGCCTCCCAAGTGGCGTTGAACTCCTCCAGCGAAGGGAGCTCCTGAAACCGCCGTCACAAAAAATCAAACCACGCGTCGTGACGCCATTTGCGGCACGCGGTTGCGGGAAACCGTCACAATCCAGTGCAAACTCTTCGCGAGGGCATTTATATTAAACCTTAAAATTAACCCCGGTGCTGGTTGGACCCTGACCGTAACCCTAACCCGGTCACCCGGTGGTCTCGTTGGTAGCCTCGTGACTTTCTAGAGGCCAGTTCAGGGGGTTCGAATCCCGGCGTAGGCGAGCTTTTCTTGCAAGGTGAGTTTTTCTCTCGCTTCCGCTCCTGGCCAAGTGGATAGCGCTAGTTCGTGTGTACACAGAGGGAAGAGAGTGCTGAACTCTTTTCGCATTAAAAATTGAAGGCGAAGTACCGCAGGAGGGGAGGGTAGAGAGAGGCTCCCCTGTGTGACCACGGGTTGGAATAAACGGCACCAGTGCTGTGAGCGCTGATTTGAAGTGAAGCAAAAAAAAAAAAAAAAAAAAACTAAGCAAAGTTCAGGTGAGCTTGGGTGTAGTGGGGGACACGGATCGGGGGCTTAGAGTTAAGAATAGGGTCACGAACTCCCACTCTGTTTAATCATATACAGTAGGTGTTCCAATATAGTGCCGGTATGTGCCCAGAGGTTTGACCGGCACAATGCTGTACCGGACCCGCCGACACTAATCAGAAACGGATATACAGGGTTTTGAATTAACCTCGGTGCGGGTTGGACCCTAAACATAACCCTCAGCCAAGAGACGACAAAACCACCTGGTTGTTGTCCTCAGACTCTTGCTCGATCATGAGGCGAGCGTTCGTTAAGATGAAAACAAGCGCAATAAATACCTGTTGAAGAACGAAAGAGACAACAAATAAATCACCTGGTTGTCGTCCTCAGCCTCTTGTTCGATCATGAGGCGAGCGTTCGTTAGCTCTTCCTCCTCGAAGGTCTCGATCTCGGGAATGGCTCCTGACGGCAATTCATAGAATTACGGTTACAGCAGTAGGGTATGAGGAGGACAAATGTTTGGCGTTTGCAGGTGTCGCCGGTGCCTGTTGACAGGAACAATGATTAGAGTCTGCACGTCTTTTGCCCTGTCGGTCGGTGTATGAGAGCATGCGCCCTTAGTTTTGTAAGCCTGTCATCATGGAAGGCATCAGAGTCAACTGGACCAGTCGGGCTTTGGATAGCAAAGATTGCACCTCTCAATGTGAAGACAACCACAACCACAACAACACCAACACCAACACCATCACTCCCACCTGACATCATCGCGGCCGCAGCAGCAGCCTGCGCCTTCTTCTTCTTCTTCCTCTTCTTCTTCTTTCCGCCCTCACCACCACCCCCGCCGTCATCTCCCCCCGCCGCCGCCGCAGCAGCAGCAGCAGCAGCAGCAGCGGAGGCGGCCGCGGCGATCGCGGAAGCCGAGGGGTAAGCGGCAGAGTCGTGCTCCACAAGCCGTGCCGCCTCCGCCTTCACGAGAGCCTCGGCGGCCGCAAGGGCGGAGTCTGCACGGGGCCCCGCGGATGAAAACGCCTCAGACAGAGACACTGGGAGAAAACAGCAGAGGCGTTACCCGGGGGGTGGGTGGGGGGGGGGGGGATGTTTTTCATGCCATGGGGGTTAAACTGCATCTCAGGGAGGACAAGGTTTGCATGGGGCCCCGCCGATTAAAACGTTTCAGAAAGAGAGACCTGGAGAAAACATCAGAAGCGTTATTGGGGGGGGGGGGGCGAGTACAGTCGAACGTCGGCTACGGACACGCCTGATTTCTTGCTACAAAAAAGTGGCCTTACGCTGGGGAAGCATCCTTAAGGTTAACATACACCCCACCTTGTGTTGTACAGTCTGCGAGTCCACCATGCCTGTGCCAAAAAGAGTTGTCCTTACAAAGGGATTCTCCTTACTTTTGGTGTCCTTACGCGAGGCACGACTGTACCCGTTCGTTGAGCAGTAGACTCAAGACACCGACGGGGGATTCTACCCAACGCTTCAACAGCCCACAGGAACAAAAAAAGATGGCGTCAAGTCTTTCTCGGAAAAATAAATAAAAACACAAAACTACCCGTTCGAGATATACCCGCAGTCAAACGGGATTGGTGGAGTATTCTTAGTGAGTTGAGTAAAACCGGCTAGGTACTGGACTTATATTTCGAGTCTTTTTAAGCCGTACACTGATGATATATATCAGTGATACCAGCTGGTGCTAAGTACAAAAACATCACCTACATTTTACATCTCTCTCTCTCTCTCTCTTGGCCTCCAGCTGCTACTACTGCTGACGAAGTGGCATGTAGACATCACAATGCAAGATCGAGAGCCACAAGCATGTGATAGTACGGTAGCAAGAGAAGACCGGATTGAACATCATTTTTCGGCTTGTCCAGAACCTCCGCTACTCTTAAACCGGAGTCTCTCTCTGCTTCGTATGACAACAAGTGGCAACTAGACAGAACGCAAAACCCAACCCAATCACAGGACAGCACACAGCACAACCCTACACCACGCCAACAACACCCACACGAGACCAAGCCGAGGCGGAGACAGAGACGGACGCAATCGTTCGTTCGTTTGGTCTCAACCCACTCACCCGGGGCGGGGCAGGTCTCGGCGCACCGCCTGCGAGCGCTTGCGGAACTCCGCCTCCTCGCGGGCGGCCTGCTCGGCCAGCAGCCGAGCGTCGCGGTCCGCAGCGTCTTCTTCTCGCAGAGGGGCCCCGTCAGCCTCCTCCATTACCTATTGTAAGATAGTGTAATACAGTGATGGTGGCGATGCAGGGGGAGGGGGGGTGAAGATCGCTGGGGCTCGGTTATCTTTCGAAAAAATTGAATCATAAACGAAAATTTGGATGCTTGATTCTTCTCGCAGAGGGGACCCGTCAGCCTCCTCCATTAGTGTGAATGTGTGTGACTGGGGATGAAGATAAAACTGGGGGTGGCTGGGAGTCGGGTATCATTGAAATCTTGAAAAAATTAAATGACAACTTTGGATGTTTGACTCTTCCATCCTCAGAGGGGCTCCGTCAGCCTCCTCCATCACCTACAGCGTGGGGAGGGGAGAGGGGGTTACGTTGAAGCGAATTGTCCGCTGGCTGGGGCTCGAATATGAATGACAATAGGGGCAGCTTGGGGCTCGGTCGCCGAGGGTTTGTGTAGTCGGTTATCGGTTATCAGCGTTGGATGAAGGAAATTAGGGGGCAGCTCGGGGCTCGAAGACTTGGGTAGTCGGTTATAGCGTCTTCTCCTCGTGTACATGGCCGCCGTCGGCCTACAAAAAAACGGCTTAGCGTTGGTTGAGTGATGCTAGGGCCCGATACACACAATTGAGCCGTTAATTCAAACTACCGTGCGGCTTGCCTCATTTAATGCAGTATTGAAACAACAGCAACAACAACGACCACAAGACGCTAACACGAACAAGAGCGATGCCATGGAATCTAAACTACAAATTTTACAAGTTGGATATAGGTCATAGGACCCAGGCAACTCTTGTAAAGTAAAACAGTAGCAGCACGACAACAGCAACAACAATCGTAGCAGCAGCAGCAGTAGCAGCAGCAGCAGTAGCAACAACAACAACAACAACGCGAACACCAACACTAACCAAAAACACGAACAAAAACATCAATATCATCAACAACAACAACAACAACAACAACAACAACAACAAGCAAATGTTAGCTTCACCATCGAGGGAGTAAAACAAAAGCCACTCACGTCAGGGGCGACGAGCTCGTACTCGTATTGAGGGGCGGGGAGGCCCGACAGCTTCGCGCGGAGCTCCTCCTTCTTGCGCCTCTCCCTGGCCCTCTCCTCCTTCGATCCCACGGGACCCCCGCCGAAGGAGGAGACGCTTCCCATGGGGGACATGCTGGCCATGCTCGCGTCGTCGTTAAGCCCCAGCTGTGTGCAAGAAAATCACGAAAAATCGGTATTTACGAAGAAAGTCACGTGCTGGTTGAGGGGCAAGGCGGGGGGGGGGGGCTCATGTTTTGCATGACCGCGTGCCCCCGAGAGGACGGAGCATTGTTATTCCCACAGGACCGATCGATCATCGATGTCCAGCAGGTCGATCCTTTCTACGTTGCCAAAGGCGGCTCACAAACGTTTTCCCTATCCCGTCCATCCTATCGATGTGAAGGGAGGGAGGGGGCGGGGGGGGGGGGGGGGGGGGGGGGGTTTAACCATACATCGAC